CACTTGAACACTTCCTATTGTCAATCCAGAATGGTCAAGCTCTATAGTCTTGTTATTATTCATATTGATCAGCATTTACCATTTGACATTATCAGACTGCACACCAAATTACCAACCTGTAAAGAAGAACTAGATCAAAGAGATATAACTTACAAAAGCCAGGGCACTCATACCAAAATTTCTGACATGAATTTGTGACTTTCATTTGCTAGAATGAAACTTTTTCCTCAAGAATTTATCATTTACCACAGTAAGACCTCACTTACAGACTGTGTTGCTACAAAACAGGCAGCAATTTTTCCTTTTTTACTCACTTTAAAATCAATAACATGTCACCCTTACAAAGCAGCAGCAGAGACATTGGGCTTTATGTGGCCATAGCATACACCTTTATTGGAAAAAGTCCACATGGACGAGAACTGCCTGATGCACAAAATATCTTTGTTAGGGGTATTTCCTATCAAAGAATATCCTTGGATGTTTAACGCTGCAGCAACACACATGAACACATGGCTGTACAGAGTCCACACTGCCAGCTGACGTGTCACAAACATACAAGTGTCTTAAAATGCCCCTCCCATTGTCCAAGTGCTCATTTGGACCCCAAAATTGAGTGAACAACAAGTGGGGATAACACAGCACTGTAGTTTATCTCCATTTACCACTAACCTGCTTAAAATTACCAGCTTTTCTCAAGTCATTCAAAAATCCTCTGGCACTGGGATGATGCAAGTTATGATTTAGCAACAATCTGACAGAAAACTTAGATATCTAACAGCCCCCTGCATTGAGAGGACGTTTCTAAGCCAGTACAGAATGGGACATGCTACTAATCAGTTCAGCCTTAAAGATGGATAAAATTCACCCAGTGATTTTGAAATCAAATGCTGACCCTTAAAACTTCAAGGTCTTGAATGTAAACTACAAGAAGGGTAAACACTGAGCTCTATACATTAGACTGCAATTTTTTCAGATTCAGTAACTATTAGTTAAGCAAACAAAGATTTAGTCTTACTAACTCACTGCCTTCGCCCATACTTTGCTTTTTCCAGTAATAATTAACAATCTAACAATTTAATTTGCACTTTTGAAAATACAAATAAATCTGCCAGAAGAAGGTAAATTAAAAAAAAAATTCTTATGTTTGTTTTTTATTTTCCCCCCATGAAAAGGGATTAATTTTTAAAATAAAAGTTTTAGGGTCTATCTATGGTAACTCATACATTCAGGTACTTATGAGAATTAAATTTAGATTATTTGGAAAAAATGTATTCAATTTCTTTTCAATTAAATATTCTCTGCAGAATTTTATCCTAAGATTTTCATCCAGCTGCCACTTATGAATACTTTCAAAATAAACTTTTTATGGCTTGAGGCTGATAAGGTGTATCCCAAACAAGGCCAACATGATAACACACATGGGCTCTCTTAGGGATATCATTGCCTTTTTGGTAAAAACACCCTCAATTTTTAACAAACCACCCACAGATTTCATCATAATCTTACAGAAGCTACCAGGACTTTGCCAACAAATATTCACACTAAAACTGCAAGGGCAGCTCTAAGCCCAAGGCAGGTCAGTTTAGCTGTCCTTCCACAGCAGGAAAATGGTTGACTTAAAGTCTCCTAAAATGACTGAACTACATAACTATTAACGGGGACTTGTGTTTTCCAAATCATATATGCCAGGGTGTTTTTAATCTCTCCACTGTTATTTACAATTCATTGCACTTTTTTACTGAACTCACTTCTCATTTTAAGACATTTTCAAACACAGTTTGATCCAATGGCTTCAAATCAAGAAGAAAAAAGAATTTGTCAGGGGATACAACATGCCCTAATTTAGATACACAGTTAAATTGATGTGGAAGAGGCTAATTCCACATTCTCGCTCCTAAATTTGGACACAACGATGGTTGTGATGAATCTGTGAGATGTGTTCAAGAGGATGGTATTTAGGAATCATTTTCCTTGGAAAAGAATATTGTTCATGCATTGAAGAGAGAATTCCTCCCCATTTCCACCCACATTTAGTACTACATGACTTAATACTGATGTTATGAAAACAAGTAAACCTTTTTTTGGTTCAGTATTGTAAACCAAGATCTTCTCCAATGCCCAAAATAGGATCCCACCCTTGCTGGATCATCCATTTCCATACTGTGCTGTTAATTCTGTCCTATCAGATATGCAGTTTGAAAGTCAACCAGGCCTTTTATTTGTCAGTTGTTCACTATTAAGATAAGGAAAGACACCAATTTAGAGAAAAAGGAAAAAAAAATAATAATTTCAATTATATCAGATCCTACTAAACTCTTCCTGCTCATGTACCTTTAAGCACTGACCAATCAGCCCTGTAATTTCAGTTGAATTGCTTGTTCAGTGGGCAGGGTAGTACTTGATCAAAGGCTGGGCTTGATGATCTTTCCAACTTTAATGATTCTGTGATTCTATATTTAATATTACAGACATAACCCAGCCACACACTGATGCAAAGCCACTGAACACAGGCAAGTTAACTATTTTCCTGATGTCTAGTTGGGCTACAAGAGGCTTCCCATGCATTTTGAGCCCTTGAAATCAAGGATGAGGGAGGAACATGTCTGACACTTCACTGTATTCTTCTTGGTATAGGATATTTCAATAGGGGACTATTTTAGCATTCTGATAATATGCATAAAATACGGATAACTGTCTTTATGACATTCCAAACACCAAAGTGAAAAAAGTGTTTTCCCTTCCTAATCATAATTAATCACCATTATCAGTATTCCACTAGGGCACAGAGACATTTATATCATCAAAAAATTGATATTTTAAGACGGGAAAAAAAAAGTACAAATTGGTTGTTATGAAAAAAGAAGAACTAGTATGACTGAAGCAGTTTGTAGGAGGAACACTGATTAACCCCCTAAGCAGATACTGACTGTGATCAAACAAAGTGCTAAAACAAGTTTCTCAGCAGATGAACTGGGTATCACCAAACCCCCTACTTAATCCATGGAGCTGCACTGAAGTGTTCTAAATTATTTACAGGAACCAAATATTTGTCAGTAAGGTATTTTTTACTGATATTAAAAAGGTAGTTGTTACTGACATTAAAGCTCCCAGAAATTATAGTTATGAGGACACATAAATAGAAGCCAGAAAGGACAGAGTATAAAAAAGACTACTGGTATAGGATAAATATCATATAAGCAGACAACTGAATTTAAGTCTACAAAGTAATGCAGTAGCAAAATAATAAAAGCAATTTACCCTGTATCACACGAACACATAAGTAAGTCAACTAAATCACATTCTCTGTCTCTTTTAAAACTAGCATTTTAGACTTTAGCCCATGCTTTTCTAGACAAATTTAATGTAGTAATATTCTGACATAGGTAAAAAAGGGTGATTTCACTGCATATAGTAAATCAGTAGGATAAAATATTAAAATCCCTGTGAAAGACCTTAAAAATTGATAGTTTCCAAGTAGCTGTAAACTGGATGGCTCAGAAGAAAGGATCCTTTTCTGTTTCACAGAATGAGGCAGTTGTCAATTGGTTTGTGAGTACAACAACATTGTTAAGACTTAATGTTGTTCAACAGCTTATTTGACTTATTAATGTTAAGTAGCATTAAATATAATGTTCACCATTTCTATAGTCAAACATACAATGCTTAATACAATAATTTCTGTAAGTTTAGTATTGTATTGAAAAGAGAGACCTAATTAAAGATCATGCATTTCATAGACCTATTTTATCTCTATCTAAATCAAGATTTAATTAATACCCTTTTGGAGCCAGCACTTAAATTTTAATACTGTTCTTCAAGGTGTGAGGAACTCCAATCTAGCAGATTCCATACTCTCTGCATGTCAAAGATAATTACATTTGCATTGTACAAGCATAACAAGATATAAATCTCTACTTATTTTCATAATATGGATACTGGAATAAATAGCACATTGATTAACGTCTCCAAAGAAGTTGGTAAAATCTGACTAATATAGAACCATTTAGAATATATTTCACTGGCTCTAAGAACTAGTTACACTTCTGCTTGGGAAGGGCTTAGCTCTCACACCAATAGTTGTGGAATTTAAGGTGTGAATTAGTTGTATCAAAGTCCAGTTTGTCCTTGAGTTCAAAGCATGGTGCAGCTGATACCAAGATTGAGTCTCCAAGAACATCCAGAGCACTCAGCTCATCAGTTCCCTGGGTGCCCAAGAGCTCCCAAACCCATTCTCCAGACAGAGGTTTCCCAATAGCAACTAAAACATCCTCTTGTAGTGTTTTTCAATGTGTTGTTCATTCTCAGTTCACATAAATTTTCCACGTACCCAAACAAATGGAAACTGCTGAGGAACAAACAAAAAGAAACAAACACAAAAACACCCCTAAAAAACCCAAAACCACCAAAGACAAGAGTAGGCTTGAATTAGAACAAATTGTAACAATAACAACAAAATTATCCAAATGTCTAAAGCATTTTGGTCCCCTATTTAGCTAGTACATGTTTAGATTGATAAATAATTGCAGGATTGAAGAGAACTGTGATGTTCTAATTTTAGGCAAGTAAACAATTTGCAACTAAACCTTACAAGAGGGCAAAGAAAAAAAAAGTAGAAAAAAAAAAACAAAGCCAAAACATTAGAAATTGTGTTTTTAGCTTTCTCTAAGTTGACTGAGACATTTTCAGCATTCAAAGCATTCATGAAGTGTTCATGAAGCGTAACAGAAGCTACATAGGCAAACATAAATCTGATATATCTTTTAACAACCTTGAGAGGGGAAAATCAGTTCTTCTGCTTGAAACCCTTCAGGTACAATATTTGAAAAAATAAAACCAAACTAATAAATAATAAAAACAAAACTGAAATGTATTAGGTCCTTGTAGTCCTACTAAAGTATTAAAGAAATAATTGCTCCCTGCTCAGTTTGCTAAAATGTTTTTTTGATGTGCAACATTTATAAACTGTGGCTGTGGGTGTTTATTTGTTCCTCCTCCCTCACCACAGGGCTCACAGGAACACCCTCATCAATACCCTCCACAGACACCTTACTGCTGGCTTCTTCATTTTTGGACATTCCTAACTTTTCCTGGTTGTCAGCACCTTGAAAGTACATCCACTGATCTACATCTTGGAAAGGAATGTGCTTGTTAGAGTTTTCAGAAATCAGTCTTACCAACCATTAGGTCTGAAGGGATCCCCCCCCCCCCTCACTCCCCAAACCTGAGGTTGTTCTCACCAAGCAGATTAGTGATTTAAAAATTACAAGAATTGGGGGAAAAAAAAAAAAAAAAAAAAAAGAACAAAGGGCAGTCAAACATCTAACAGTCAGACTTCATACTTACCACGGGTGTTGCAGTACTGAAGCTAACAAAACTTCTCTCCCACAGAGTATCCCCTGGAAAACTGTGTCTGATTCAGCATCTTTCTTTTTCTTAAGGTTTACAAACTTAGAGCACCCTTTCCAGCTTAAATGGTCTTCCTCCTGCTCAGAAAATCATGTGAAGCGCTCACTGTAGTGGCAGATAATGAAATACAGTCTCTGCTCCACTCTTTACACTTCTCTGAGAACACTCACTCCACCTCCATAATGCAGTTAACTTACGACACCCAACTTTCCCTTCTCTGGTCAGCCTTGTTCCTTTGATTGCCCACCTTCTGGCAGTCTGTCACACTGGGCAAGACAGGGTACCCTGTCTGGCAACTGATAAATGACTCACTGAAAGAAGCTCTAGAGTTTGACCCATCTTCTGAGATTATTAAGGTGGCAACCTAGTAGGTGTCTTTAGCACTCCAGCTTAATGCCAACAGAGAGTTCTCTAGATGAGATGAAGTAGAAGAACACATTATTTCTTGAAAAGGGGTAATTTAGGGGACATTTGCAATCTGCTTTGGAGCATTTTTATTTCTGAACCAGAAATTAGGTTTTCAAAATACAAGGCCTGAGGAGTATTTGGTGCTTGGAGCCCAAGGTAAGATAAATGTGCACCTTCACCACGCAGCACAGAGAACAAGAACAGCTACAACGAAACTAAGGGTTTGCTTATTTATGCTGAGTGCAGAAGCATAGAAATCCCAGGGGGAAAAAGAAAAGAAACAAAAAACCCTCAACAAACAAACAAATAAAAAACCGAAAAACATCACAAGATACATGCTCTGACATCATCTTGGAAAAAGTTCTGCAGTGAAACATCTTAGGAAACCCAAGTCCTCTGGAATACTCAATGGGCTATTTATACCTTGTGAAGGAGACACCACTCTACACCTGTAACGGTAACCTTGCCAAATGCAGACTGCACAGTCACCCACAAAGCTTTCCAGGTTAAGTCTGGATGTGAATGTGTGGGAGACAGTCACACAGGTACAGTATTCAGATGTAGACAGCTGGCAACTGCTCTTATCTGAGCTAATGTCATACTTACACTATAGCAGATTGAGTATGGAGATCATGCCCAGGCAGAGAGCACAGGAATATAGAAGGACATGAAACCCAACCAAGCTGCAGCTTTATGCCTACTGAAGGAGTATGTGTCACTTCATATTAAACATCAATGACTGTGGCAAGGGCAAAATAAAAATACATTTGCTCTAGAAAGGAGGATTTGTCATAACAAAGAGATTTTTCAAGTCATTAAAACCTGAAACCTCCTGACCTTCCAGTCAACTACAGACAGGGGACATTCTGTTTCTGAACTATGCAAATGGCAATAGAGAAATCAAGAATTTTTATTATCCTTTTCCATATGCATAAACCACACATTCCTATCTTCAAATTACATTATACTGTGGCCTTCTAACTCTGAGTGACTGTTCCTAGCTAAGTTTCATCATTTAATATGTAGCACCTGCATTTGACATAATAAAATTAAGCATTCCCTTGGAAATCAGATAGCTAGAATGTTTCTGTTTCTTTTTTAGACAAGGAGAAGACCTATCTCCAAATTAGTATCTTTGATGTTGACTTTTCATCAGTAATAGAGAATCTGGTTTAAAAATTAAAAACCCAAACATCAAAATGCATGAAAAGTCTGTTAGAACTGTACAGTGAGGAAACAGAACAAAGCCACCAGCTTGGAAGGCTGCTTCTGCTCTTTAGGATGTGATTAAAAACCCCAAACTTGTTTGGGAGGGAAAGTAAAGTAATCTCCAGGAACTTTCTGCCGATATAGCTAAAGCTGGTTATTATCAAAGAAACAAATGTCTGGATTCAGACACAGGCTTAGCAACTTTAGCTCTAATTAAGGCTTCCTTCAGAAGACTATCCTATGCTAGATGCCAATTAAAGGGAAAACTCCCTTGTTTAGATAGTTTTCTAAATATTTTTAAGCCTTGGGTGGGCTGCCTGGTTCTGCCCCACAGCACAGGGAAGGGAGAATGGTTCTTGTGGAATGCCTGGAGAAACAGCAAGGGTTCTGCCTCCTGCTGACAAGCCAAGCCAAGTCAAGCCTCACGAAGCTTACCCTGAAATGGAGTATTTTCAGAAACTCATTCTAAATTTCTGTGCCTATCCTGGAAAAGGATTTACGTTAAGCAGGTTGGGTGTTTCTCACAAGTGCTTTTCCAGCTACCCTTAGGCCAACACCTGTGATCAATTATTCTGAATGCTGTTTAGAACTGTGTACATGTATGGGAAACAAAGCCTTTATTTCACCTTCTTTTGCTTTGCCAAATACACCGATGGATATTATTTGATCATAACGTCACTGGAATACTTAAAGCAGTTATACTCTCAGGAGACATGGAAGCTACAACAAAGCAAAAAGAATGGGCAAAAAGAGACTAGAGAGATTTGATCCATCTCTTGACCAGGCTTAGCATCATGGTAAGTCCTTAGACATGCACAGAAATTGGCTTTTGTGTTAAAACCATTGGGCTTAGACAAGCTCCTTTCCTGTTCCATCCTTGTAGTAACTGACTGCTGAAGGAAAACAGCTTAAAAAACCCCAACAAACAAACCTACAGTGGTTAAGAAAGTGAACCACAATAAAGCAGGCACAAATCCACTGGGGAAAATGCAGAGTGACACTTGAGATAGGAGAGATGCACAGAAAAGGCTCAGAAAGAATGGGGGCAAAAAACCCCAAAGGCTTTGCTAAACCAGTGAGCATTTCAAACACAGTTGCAGAGTGCCCTGTTTAAGGTACCGAGAGCATTTAACAAGCTCATTCCAAGCTCCCTGTAGTGAAGAAGTGAATGACAGCCACAGCAGCTTGAGCAGGACAAAGAAAAGAAGAGCAGCAAAAATGCACAACGTTTGTCCTTCCACAAGACATTTAGGATACCACTGATCTACAGACACACAGCACAAACTAGACACTTCTTTCTCTTCCCACCCATAAGCACTAGCTCCAAACAGGGCTATTAACCTTTTTTGAAATGTCCAAATCTAAAATTGCTTTTCTGCAATCACCAGGGAAGCTCCTCTCCCTGCCATGATGGAGAGGACAGAGGGAGGGAGGGGAGGACGTGCAATAGATGAATCTCTCTTTGCTTTCCTTTGCCCCAGGCAGCTTCAAGTCCCCCTCCCTCTCCTGTGAGGACCTACCTTCTCTACTGTCTCAGTTTAATTGAGACAAGGGTCTTTTGCTGAGGATGGATTAGGAGAAAAAGACCCAAACCTTCTTTTCTAGCAATTATAGATTCGAAATTAAGAGGCCCCGATTGAAGGAAAGCAAATTATGGAAAAGGGAAAAAAGGAAAAATAACAGCCCTTTATTAAGTATGTGTGCATTAACGTAACACGAGGGAAAA